CCTCTTGTAGATACGAGAGCTTCGACGAATTCGGACTTGGGAAGTACGCGTTCGTTCCGAAATTGGAGCGTCCTTTACGTGTCCGAAATTAATGTTCATGTTAACAAACCTTAAATTAGTCACGATTTTTTTATGCTTAATTCAATACGCAATACTCAGAAAATAAATTGTCTACTATAACAACTATTTTGGGACGAACATAGTATTTATGAAAGTACAGCATTTGTAATTCTTGTAATATTATTAATTAATGTGCGCATTCAATAACTAGAGCAAGTAACTTGTCAAGTAACATTGGAATTTTTATAGCAAACTCTGCGTAGGTACTTTAAACTTGTCCTATTTATTAGGCAAAACTCAGAAAGTAACTTGTCAAGTAATGATGCAATTTTTACATCAAACTGTGGGTAGTACTTACAATAGTACTTCGCATATAATGAAACTCCATATGATCAAACCCAAAATATATCATTATTTTCTAGTTTCATTCACTACATGAAACTTGGAAAGTAACTTGAAAATTGTCAGTGGAATTAGTATAAACAGATGAATACTTATAAAAGTACCTCGTGTCCGTAATTAATCTTCATATGAGCAAACCCGTCAGTATTTCTTATATTAAAATCAAAACATCAAAAGTAACTTGTCAAGTACTATTAGAATTGGTACTTCTAGATCTGCTACTTATAAAATTATTTAGTGTATGAATATAATATTTGTATTAACTTGGATTCGTTAATACACTAATAATTTTATGACTACACAATAACAAACCACAAACCATTCACAATTATCTAGTATTCTCATTAGAAAAAACAACAAAAGTTACTTCACAAGTAACATTAATTAATAATAGTACATATGTCCTTAGAAAAGTACTAACCTTTCAAAATTAATCTTCCTAATAACCAACCACAAACTATTCACAATTATCTAGTATTCTCATTAGAAAAAAACAATGAAAGTTACTTCACAAGTGACATTAACATTTTGTTACTTTCAGTACATGAAAGTTAGAAAATAACTTTTCAAGTAACTATGGAATAAGTTAGTGACGATAATTCAAAAGTAACTTGTCAAGTATCATTAACATTTAATAAAATGCGTTGTACTTTTACTTTCCAAGTATCTAGCAGTGAGCAATGAGATTTACGTTGTTACATTTCTCAGAAATCGGGTAAAAATAAATCCGTATATACTTTATGCACATATCTAAGAACTGCATAACAATGATAAGAACATCGGAAAACTTAGTAAACAATCTTCCTAGAATTTGAGAAGAATTCCTTAACTACAAACTTGTGAAATTAACTTGTTGAACGCGCATAACACTTTTGCAACTAAATTCGGAGAATTGGTGCAGAAATTTTTGTTGTGAAATGGCAATTTTAAATTTGGAACGTCCGTTTCTATATTTGTTTTTTTCTTCTTCTTTATTTTAATAATCGTTATGAGGAAACGAGTTTCTTTTAATGCGCATTCTAGGAAATTATGGAAACAAATATTCTTGTTACTTACAAATTTACATTGAATTAATGGATTATAGAGAATGTTAACTCATTTAAATCCTACAAGAAATATTCTTAACCAGATTAAATTCTATTGAATCATTATCAATATGTTTACTTCTTATACAAAATTACGTAACTTTAATTTAAAAATACAATATTTATCTGATATTTTTTATAGATTTGTTAAGTAAATTCTCAAGAATATGAAAATAGAATATAATTAACAATAAATTAATTTTAAAACTGTTAAATTTCATTACTGAATATGTTAGCAAATGTTGCTAAATAATGCGTTAAATATAATTTTTAGTTGTTTTTAAACTGATTTTCTATTGCGAACTTAACGTAGATGTTAAAATTAATCAATATCTAATTAAATATTGTCTTTTTTTACTGGGGTAAGCCCAGAGTTAACCGCAACTCATTCCATTCAATACTATGCACTTAAACAAGGAAAAATCTATATATAAATAATATTTGCAATCCTTCTCATAATTCTCTAACAAAATAATACTTTTTATTTTGGAATAAAATTGGAAATTCGACAAAAGAATGTACGAGTATACAAATAATGGTAATGTGTAATGATGAAAACATTAGTTAATAATGTACTCTAATACAAACAAGAATGCTTTGACCCGCTCGGTCTTTGTATGTTATATACTAATGCTCAAATAGTGTTGAATCAATGGATGAAACACACGCATTCATTCTAAATAGAGTTTCAAAGTTTGTTATCTACTTTGTTATTTTGTACAAAATTTTCATGTAAATTTTCAATAATACAATCATACAATATACAATATGAATTAATTCAATACTAAAAAAGAAAATTACAGATTTCATTTAAATATTTCTAAATTCCCAACTTGTAATTACTTTTATATAATTTAACTTATTCATTACTTAATGATTACAAATATATATATTTATTCTCTGTTGTATTAATCAGCTTTCATTTTTAGATATTCGCGAAATACTCAAAGCTTGTTCATGGAAAAGCCTCAGAATAAAACTGATGCATTTTTAGTTCATTCACGCATTCACTCATTCAATAGACATGATTGTTTATATAATATATAGTCATAGTTTTGTTACGCAATATTATAAAAAAAATCTACGATATTCCATCTTATAATTGACGTTTTTAATCTGATTTTTTAAGTTTATATAATATATTTAACAATTTATTGAATTTAGTAAGATACATAAGAATTTTACCTATTTAGGTTGTAATAATGTTTTTTTTAGAAACTGAGATTATATAATCTGTTTGTAAATAATTAATTTTAATTGGCGTTATTTAATTAAATTTGAATAACAATCGCAGAAATAGATTTACGTAATGATCACGTAATTGCGTCCAACGAATAAAAATAACCATTAACGCAATTGCAGGTATCGTTAAATGGATATATAATTTATTTTTAATTGGAAATATAATAATAATGGAGAAGTCAAGTGTATTTATACTTTTTTTTTTACTAGTTACTTGACAAATAATTAGGAAAGTTGTCAAAAGAATTTACTTTACGCGTTATTAATAAAGTAAATTAAGTCTAAATATTGTAGATATTGAAATGTCTTGAAAAGAAGTAAAATTACTTTAACTTATGTTGGTTTTAGTACTTTACAAGTACTTGTCTCAGTTATCAAATGCTTATATAATTGTTCGATATTTACACGTAACTTGTAGTGCATTGTTAAATAACTAATTTATTGGAAATATAATAATAATGGAGAAGTCAAGTGTATTTACACTTTTTTTACTACTTGACAAATACTTAGGAAAGTTGTCAAAAGCATTTACACGTTGTTAATAATGTTAACCAAGTCTACGTAATGTAGATATTGAAATGTATTAAAAATAAGTAAAATTACTTTAACTTATGTTGATTTTAGTACTTTTTCAAGTACTTGTATGAGTTATTAACACGTAACTTGTCAACTAACTAATTTTTTGAATTTGAATCAATTGTAAAGAAATAATGTTAAGAAAATACTATACTTGTTTAGCAAATTTATGATCTTCAAATACATGTCCAAGTTGTCAAAATTATGTATTTCATAATATATTTGACATACTATTTTATATTATTCATAATTTTGGATTGAAATCATGTAAAAATGTATTGTTTCTTATTAAATATATATAATAATATTAATATAAATTAATAATTCTGAGAAACATGTCGTAACCATTTTACAGTTATTTGCGTTTCTTGTTAAATAAATTGGTTTATTGTAAGATATTCTTTAATTGGAAATATAACAATAATGTTAAAGTCTTAATTGGCTAATTTTAAACGAATCTCGCATCTTCCGTCGCGGTGTGGTGCGTTTGGTAGTAAAAGGCAGGTGGATTAAAAAAAAACAAGAAGAGGAGAAACTTCCTTGGTTGACTTGGTAAATCTGTGCCAAGCAGTGTTACAGGGAAGCAAGGTAAAAAAAAGGAGTAAAGTTGGAGTCTCGGGCGGCCTTTAAGGTTTCTTCGGGCGTATCGATTTACAGAAATCACTCCCTTTTGTGATGTGGCTGTGCATACGTACTCTCATCATATTTTTCTCTCTCTCTCTCTTTCTATCTTATTCTTTCTTTTGCTTTGTTTTGGTTCTCAACGCGAAGAGGTCTCAGCATCCAATAATTCCCATGAAATTCAACCCCACCGAAGCGTTGTGTGTGTGTGTTATATATATTTTTTTGCTCAGATAATTATGAATATTGCAAATTAGTTATGGTGGAAGGTAAAATAGATCCATACCTTCATAAGAAAACAACAACAAAGTGTATAGGAAAGGTCGGTTACGCAAGAACGAAGGGATCCACCGGTAATTCCCCGTTTCTAAAATAGCGAATAATTATTCCGCTGTTTTTCTCATTTGAATGCAAGTGACGCACTTCGAGGGGATTTTGCGTTCAGGAAAAAAAAAATAGGAAATAATAATATTACAGATTTATCATGGTATTTAGATCTTCGATTGTGTTTTCGTTGACCGTCGGATGGTCGGTTCGGTTTTATTGTAGAGAGGAGGGCAACCCCAATTTTCTGGGGGTGCTCAATTAAGCGGAACTTATTTCCATTCAACCATCCAAAGTGGGTAACGAGCCCAATGGAACTAAATTGCTTTCGGCTCGGGGTTTCTTCTACAGAAAACACGGTGAGCAAGTGTGTTTTCTTCGGTTGTCCCCTTGTAGATGACGAGCCGACTATGTGACAAGCTGCAAACCGAAATTCAATCCAATAGGCTACTATCCGTTACCGTGTAATGTAAGATATATTTGCCGCTCCGATGCATCTCAATCAGTTACTACGTGCAGACCACAATTTTTATGAAACTATTTATTGCTTTTTACTTTTGATCACTTATTGCGTTATATATATACATACGCTATATCTCCATCTCCGTGTTTTGTATTTCCTCAAATATCAAATTCACTCTACCTTATGATTACCCAACAGACATTCCTTCACCTAATTACTTTATATACCTTGGTTTTCGTGCACGTAGCTGGGCTGAGATGGTATTTCCGAGGGTTGTGTCAACGAAGTGGTCTTCCTCTTGAAGTCTAGGAATCGCAACTGCGACTGGAACGCCGTGTCTATGTAGGGTCTTTGGGTATGCTGTCCATCTACAACAGAAATGCAACGACAAAACAAAATTAATATCATGAAATTATTTCTGAAAAATTGAATCCAATATATAGTGGTATTATGATTGATATAAAGTTACATCCATATAATACGTGATATGACACTTCAAATGTATTAGGAGACTACATTATTTGTTCATATGACTCATTTCATAAGTGTACCAAATGCTATGAAGCTGCCAATAATGCATTGTATGTATCCAATATTTTAACTAGCATAATACATACATGTCTATCAAGTCTACCAACTAGTATGAAGTTGTCAATTCAATTTGGCTGTCGTTGGATTTCAATCAGAAAATGGACGTCTCAACTCATAGATGTACCAAATACTATGAAGCTGTCAATTCACTTTCACTGTCATCCAACTGTAGTGTGTCAAATGTTATATATTATGTATATGAACCATTATAATTAACCCAACACATACATTTCTATCAGGTTTACCAACTACTATGAAGATGTCAATTCAATTTGGTCGGACTACAATATTAGTTCATATGACTGATACAATGTTTGTCTCACATCATAGGTGTACCAAATATTATGAAACTTTCAATTCTGTCTCACTGTCATCATATGTTATCATCATCATATGTCTATATATAATCTGTCTAAAAAGTATGCATTGTATGGATGCAAAATTATCACCAGTGAAATACACATAGATCTGTCACGTGCACCAACTTCATATAGCAGTTGATTTTCATTGTCTAATCTGTCCTATTTCAGTGACTACAATAGTATTTTGACTTATGATATAATTTTGTCATACGTCATGCATATTGTTGATGCAACATTTTAACTACTATTACAATAAAATTTCCAATTGCGACAGTGAAATAATAATCATGCATTATTTACATATTTGTTTTTCATTAAATTGCGTAAATTGCGTAATCCAGCGGAAATTGAGTTATATTTGATAATTGATGAAAAAATATATACAACTTTTCATAATTTTACTGTTTCCATGTACACTTCATAATATTGTTTTATTAGTAATAAACAAAACGGAAAATTATGGTTATATAATTATATAAAATGCAAGTATGGCATTCAGTAACTTCAATATGGGATTAATTCAACGATTCCAATCGAAAACGCTGCAAACAATCACCGACGGATCATGTTCTGTAACCAACAGTCTTCTTATATGAAACAAATGAAGATAGTTATGCGAAATATATTCAACTTTAGTAATCTACTAATACTCAACAAACTTGCTATTTGAAGATTAAAAATATAACATGTTTCTTATATAATTAATTGTCAAATTTTTATTTAAACTTTTATGAAAATATGTTTTGTTTGATGAACAAAAAATTTAATCATAATGTAATAATTTTAAAGTTTTAATTGAAATATACTTTGTAATTTAAACATATAATTATTAAAAATATGATGCAATTCGAATGAGAATTATTCAATTGAAAGCTGCTTGAAATCATATGGGAAATTTTCAATTGTAATTAAATCTTATATTTTATATTCTTCGAAATAAGATACATTTCTCATATTAAGATTGTCGTGGGTTGTAGACATCAAACTTACCCCCAACAACTTAACAAGAAAATATGTGTTCTTCATTCCAATATATTTTTGGTGTCCACGTGGATCCTAAGCACTGTACCTAATGGACAAGACTGGAACAAAATGTAGTTTATATTAACCACTGTCACTGTAGAACAATGGATGAGGTAACTGAGTTTTGAAAGAAGATTCTATGTCTTTGTAAGAATAAAAAAAAGTACATAATTTATTGGTAATACATTTTTAGTATTAAATACAAAAAATATATGTAGTTTATGAGTTAATTAAAAAAATGAGAATGATTTAATTCAAAGCAAATTGAATTCATAACAAGGATTATTCGTTTTGTTTGTAAATGAACGGAACAAAGTGTGAGGTTGGATTTCGGTCGACGTGTGTAAACGTCAGTCAACGAATAATTTGGATTGCGGTCAGATTTGTCGTAATGGAATTAAAGTATTGATTGATTTGCATAATTTTTTTCCCCGGAATACATCGGGGGAGGGGGGATGTGCGCTTTTGGCGAATGTTGAAAGGGGTTTGGGGAGCTGGTTTGCACCGAGGGTTGATTTTAATTCACCGTGCGGGGGCTTTTTCCTGACAATGGCGGAGGCGGCGGAGTTCGGTGGAGGCGGCGTCGGCGGTGGCGGCGGTGCATATAAAACTATGTGGCGCTAGTGTCTACCGGAAGCCATCAGGCAGGCCGATGCAATCACTTCCGGCCTATGTCATTTCCGCCACCATTAATACTAAATTATTTGTAGAATTTTGCGTCAGGACCCTCAGCACTGCTGATGAGCCGACATCTGGTAATGATTTGTAATAATTGCACATCGAATACAAACAAAACACGAACAAAACGGAACCGTGACATGTAACTGTACCAAACCAAAATTAATGTAATTTTTGGCACGGAATCGTAAATAATCCATTTCCAGTCAACAAACCTACAACCTCTCTCCATCCCTTCTTTTTTGTTAATCCAAACTAATCTCATCTTATTTGATGAAACACATTTTGCTACCGTTCAACCAACGTTTCCTATGAGCTTTCCCATTTTTAATTCGATTTTAAGATGATAATTGGGAATAGGATTGTTTGTTAATGTGTTCGAAATGATGTGTGTATTTGGTAGAATGGTGGCAACTGGTGGTAAATAGAGTAATTACTTACAACATAATGAGGACGTAATTGCAGCAATAGCAGATTTGTAAATTGCTAATCTAACGCATTTGTCAATGATTGGACTCCGATATATGCGCGTGTATGTGTATGCGTGTGAGCGTATACATGTTAGAGTCTGTGTTAGTTAGTGTTTGTGTGTTGAGGGGGGACACAATGCATGCATTTGGAAATGCTCGTATGTGTAGTAGTATACATATGTGTGTGCGTCTATGATTTGTGTTTCAAATGAAACTATTGATGATAGTTTCCACCTATAAATAATATATAAATCGATTTAATTGAACCTATTTATATTTTACATTTTGGGAGGGAGCTTTTGGAAACCCGGATTGAATAATTTAATCAAAATTTATTGCCCTGTGAATGTTTTATTATTTTCATTACACGCTTTCACGTTGCTCCCAATTAATACGCGTATAATCTGGTCTATCTGTGTGCATGTAACAAACCCAATGCGATTCATTCTATGAACTCTTTATTTCATTCTTCTGCTTTTTTTTGTTGTTGTTGTTGTCTGTGTGCAAGAAACTTTTGCGAACATCAAATCCATTTATCGATCTCCTTTACTTTCCTTTTACTGTTGCAACTGGTTTCTAACATTTCCCAACAACTGTTGACAAAATAATTGAAGCATGCATATCGAAAACTTCCTGTTATAAATAATACAGTAGAATGCATACAAATCTCATTCTTTTACATTTTTTTTTTATATATACTTAAAATTACTTCTCCAAACATCAATTCTTCTTAATTTTGATTTTAAGCTTTCAGTTATACCTTGGTTAACTTTAACGAAATTCGAACTTATACAGAAATTATACAAGAAGATAAAAATAACATCAACGAAGTTAGAAATGAAGTTATCCAGATTGATAATTTATTGAATGATGAAGATGATAATTATTAAAGTTGAAGATTTAAAAAACCTTATTAGTAACGATGTCAAAGAAAATATTAGTCTTTATTAAAGAATTTCTTGCACTTAGTTTTAACTCATTTTGAAAGAAGTATTATTGTTAAGCTTAGACAATAGATAAATGAAAGAGAAAGAGAAGTTTCACTCTACAAAGAAATTAAATAAAATTTCGTTAAACGAGGTATTACTCATATAATACATTTTCAATATTGATATGTAATTTTATTTTCTGTACCTACTTTTGAATATAATTTGAAAAATGAGTTGAAGTTTTTTACAAAATATCTTCTTTTGATTGATTTTTTTTAATTAATATTTACCATTGTATCTAGTTTCTATCATTTCTCAATGTAAATCAATCTCATTCTTAAAGTAATGATTCATTAATACGACTTTATTGATAATATCTATTTATAATAAACTACTTCATCGTAATTTATTTTGAATGATTGTAAAAGATATGAATTGTAACAAAAAGAAACCTTTAGACTTATTTTTTCAAACTTTTGAACATCTGCTTAATATGACTCGGATAAAGGGATTCTGCATGCAAGTATAGGACCTGCAAGTACCTCGCATAGTGCGGTTCTACCAATATTCTAGACTATTTTAAACCGGACAAATCGAGGAACTATACAAAATAGAAATAAACCACATACAAAGAGGCAAAATAATAATTTTAGAATTTATTTTTTAATTTTCAAACCGTACTATAGTGAATCTAAGCCGCACTATACAAGGTATTGTTATACAAATAATTTAGCATAACTATAAAACAATATCATGTAATGTATTGGAAATATCGAGAAACACTTGTATAACAATATTAGTACTAACTCTAAGAAAATAATAATAGTAAAATATTGATTAATTTGTAAAGTAAATTTTACTTAAGAAAAATCACTTAATTGAAACATATTTCACTGAAATTCTACAGGATGTCACATATATAGAAAATATGTACTTTCTATTCTGAAATTATAATACTATTATGTAATGTATTTTAATCTAGTGAAAATATTATTGTATACAAAATTATAAAAATGCGTTTAAAGTAAATTAAATTTTTCAATTTGTTCTATTTGTAATCTATCGACGAAATGTGGACAGAATAGAAAAAAAAGAACAAATCTTAGGCATCAATTTGAGTTCGCGCTACTGTTGCCGCCTTAAATACTATTATTAAGTACACGAACAATAATTTCGAGCTGATTGGATCGAGATGCTCTAAGAATAACGCCCATGGAATGGACTAATTCCATGGTAATAACAGGATCGAATAATCTTCCTATCGACATTAGAAAATGCCATCAGACATTGCGCAAAACTGTTTCGTAAAATTGCGAGAGTAAGAAAAACTGTACCGTGCATTTTCTCTGTGATTTCGTTTATTTTCATCGCATAGAAGCGCAATGGCACGTTAACAGGGGATATGATAATGATGATGTTGTTTTATATCGAAACGGAATCGATGCTCGGCGATGCGAGAAACAATTTAGAAATCTCGAGAGGTAATGCCTCCAGATGATAAAAATCATTACAGTTTTGCCCAATAACCGGTAGCTCCCGAGACGCGTAGCGAAGAGAATTAGTATCATCGAAAGAACAACAACATGAACACAAAAAAAAAAACAAGAAGAAAGAAAGAAACTGAGGAGTGTAGAAGGTAGAAAAAAAAGAGTGGAAGATGAAGGAGAAGAAGAAAGGAAACAAACAACGAGAAGAAAATAATGAAGATAATGATAGACTATAGAGAGAAACAGACAGAGAGATGATCGGTGATCTCTACAGTCCCTATGATTCGAATTATGGAATGCTGAAAGCGCGTGAAGTAGCAATGCGGATAAACCGCATCACATACTTTCCGTATTTATGAAGCATCGGTTAATTAACGCTGTTTATTGAAAATAGCCATTCCGAACGTTCCGATTTTATTGTAATTCTTCGTATTTGTGTTTGTGCCCGCCCGGTTTTAATAAATAAACGTGTTGCTGTCGAAGACCGCAAATCGCAATTATATCGGTGGTCTATAAATTTCGTTATTTATTTAATGAAAATATTTGCACGAAAACTAAAAGAATAAATAGTAAAATGATCAATTTCATCTATTGCTGTACATAATTGACTTCAGTTATGCAATCATTTTTTTTTATTTTTGTGTATGTTTATATGTAATACGTGTATGTGATAAATGAAGTAGGTAGATTTGATTAACCATTTCTTGTTTCCCGGGAACAGAAAATCCGGGAAAAATTAGTAAAATAATTGTTTTTACAATCAATCAACTAAAAATGTTAAGAACTGACTAGTAAATGTATACATTTACTAAATTTGTATAATAAAGTTACAATAAGTAATCTTCGTAATTTCGTTAATTTTATAAATAAGTAATTTCTAATAAGATCATTTTACCAAAATCTAAGGTAAATTTATACATTGAGTAGTAAGTGCCATTTGTTGTTTCCCGGGAACAAAAAACAAATCTGGGAAAAATTAGTAAGGTAATTGTTTTCACAATTAATCAAAATACAAACGTTAACAAGTAAATATACACACTGACTGGTAAATGTATATATTTTCTAAATTTGTAAAATAAAGTTCGAATAAGTGACCTTGGAAATTTCGTTAATTTTCTAAATAAGTAATTTCTAGTTATACTAAACTCTAAGGTAAATGTATATATTGAGTAGTAAGTATAAAACAATAGAATGCAAATTATTGAGAAATTTTTATGTAATAACGTTAATACAAGTAAACTTACTAATCTTGTCTATCAATTAATAAATATTTTGTTATTATTTATTAAAATCAATTTTTATAATTTTTTGATTATTTTACTAATCTGTTGAAGCAAATATATATATTCTCTAGTAAATATGTACATTACATACACTAGGAATAGCAAATACTTGATCATTTCGTCTATCCTTTATATACTTATTTTGTTATTATTTATTATAATCCACTTTTATATTTACTTGATACTTCCAATAAACTGTTATAGCAAAAATATGAATTTTCAAGTAAGTGTGTACATTTACCAGGAGTAGTAAATATTCTTAAAATGTTAGTTGTGACTAGTAAATAATGTAGTATAGTTTAAGCAATTATTTCAACACAATTATTAAAGAAACATATGTTTAAAAATGTTAAAATTTTGCATCAATTAATTATTTTTAATTATCAAAAACGAAAAAAAAAAATAACAACAGCAAATTGATCTCTTCGTGCCATGGATATTGTCGTGCACAGATGACTTCGGTTCTTCCACCTTTTTTTTATCCTCTCCTTTTGTTATTGTGCTGTTTTCGAAGCAACTCGGACATATGTTTCGGGGGGGTGTCATTAAAAAAAGCGTTTCGTGTTCGGACACAAAGGATCGCCAACATTATTAAACCCTATTCCGCGCGGGGAGAATTGGAGTAAATACAATATAAAAAAAAAACAGAATAACTGAAAGAATTGTGAAACAAGAAGAAGAACGATATAAAAAAAAAGAAGTAGAAGAGAGAACGTGTGGAATAACGCGGGTTTAGTACAAATGTATTCCGTGGTTATTATAGTGAAACACCCCAAAGTAAAACATTTATGTGTATTATATGTTCGTTTTTTTTTTCGCCTAAATTAGTACAATTTTCCACACGCAATCGAGCTACGTACACACAAGTGAATACATTATGTTTTATTCTGTTGTTATTGTTGCTTTCCGAACCCTTTTTCAACCCCCCAGCAGCTTTGATCCTAGGCGAATTTCTTTCCACGCTGCGGCTGATGAGATATTTTGAGGGGGCAGAAAATTAATTGCATACTAATACACTGATTATTCGAAGAATGCTGGATTTAATTGGGAATTACCTTAGACATTCCACGTATTAACCATACATTAGGATATACTAATTGGCATCCACTTTGATACGTCCCCCACGACACACCTCCTTCTCCTCCTCCTCCTCCTATTCAACCCCCGTTCATTTCGCGAGTTTCCATAATCCACGGTGGCCGTGGCCGTAATAAGCAAAGAGAAATTCATGCAGCACAAGTCTATCCCTCTCCGCACGGAATTAAAGTAACAAACAAATACTCTACTAGGCTTTTGATTAGTTTGTGCGTGTAGCTACTAAGTTTCGTGATAAGGTCCCCCATTTCCTGGCTATATACTGCCTTTTATCGTAGTGAGAATAATATTGGGATAAGAAAATGCGACTCGGGAAACAACTGGGACGCGTTTTTGCGCGGAGCCACAACCAAATTACACCTAAACAACAAAATAATAACGAGCAGCAGGTCCCCCCAATTATGTAACAGCAACGGAGGAAAAGACCGATCGCCCAAGGCCCTATTGGCAAGTCCTTTGTACGACGCAAAAATTGCTGCCTAATTGCCGTTCATCTCTATGTCTGTCCCATTCTAAGCTGTGATGATTATTCTCACATAAGGGTCGCAACTTTCCATATGCGTTATACACTTACTGGTTTTCGAACGGGGCTCCCGTGGTCCATCCACCGTGACCTTGATGGCTTTATTGTAGGTAGTCACTTGCGGGGGCGACGTTGATATTGTGATTGTTATGGTGAAGGATTTTCCTGCAAAAAAAAAATATATAAATACATTCAACAAAACATATTTCATATTAAAGTACTGTTTAATAATTTATTTCACTACTAAATTATACTATTTCTATTCTTGTTTTGATCATTTCATTTATATAAAGCTGCATCCACACCATTCTAAACATTAGACATAAATCTGTCTTAACAAGCATAATTCGACATTTAATTATCACGCATTTTCATTTTGCCCATTTATTTACATTTTACTTCATATTTTATTATACAAATTTAAATTTAACATTATTAAATTGATTAATAAAAAAATGATTTAGAACTTAATATTATCTTACTGAATAGATTGTCAGTAAAATGAAGTAGAAATAACCTTCAACGTCGAAAGTGTTAGGCTTTTAAATTCTCATAAAATTTTATATTACCCAAGCAAACATACATAGTAGTAACTAATATAAGCAATAAGATAAATTTTGTAAAGATTTATGTATAAAGAAAACGCATTGACCGAAATCTTTCAATATAAATTGTCCTATCTTAACATCAAAAATGTATGCCGCTTAGGAAATTTATAATTATAATCATTTTTTTCCAATTTTTAGTTTAAAATACAGTAATACCTCCATAGTGCGGCTTTGGTCAGTCCTGATTCATTATAGTACGGTTAGAAAATAAAAAAATAAAAGTTTATAATAAATTTAATAAAGAATTATGGATTTATATTCAATATACATTTTTCAATTTTGTAATGAAATTATTGGTTTGTTAATATGATTTATAATTTATGCATTATATAAATTGCTTGAAACTTTGTATTTTCGATTACATAAAATGAAGAAAAAATATTAGAGAGTAAAAACAAATTTTATATATGAAATAATTATTATTTAAATTATCAACATAATTTATTAAAATTACGTAAATAATTATAGATTAATTTTAGATGAAATTATTTGTATTTGTTATATGTAAAACTTTTCTATATTTTAAATATTATCTTAATTAAGAAATATATAAAATAGTAATTAATTATGTAAACAAAAATATATATAATTAGTAGAACATTTAATTTCACTAACGATTTTGTTTTAATTTTATTTTTTATAAACAAAATTAAACAGAGAAAAAATACATCAGAGTTTAAATAATAATTAAATGAAGTTGAATATTAACAATGTACGCAGAAAACCTGTTTTCGGAAATAAGCGGTAATTTAATTAACAACTCATTAAAAATATAATTTAATTGCGGCTTCTTTATATATTAATAAAACGTACTATTCACATTATACATTAGCAATAAATACGTGAATGAGTTTTCAATAATAATTTTCATTGCTTTTCTATCTTAGACATCAAATGCATATGCCGCTTAGAAAATTTACAACTACAATTATTTTCTCGCATACTGCGGCTTCGATCAGTCCGGATTCATTATAGTACGGTTTGAAAATTTCAAAAACAATCAAAATTTTAATTCAGCAAAATAAAAATAAATTTATACAATAAAGTCTCTGTTTGTTCAGTTTAAAGTCTTTTATTTGATACCGCACTGTGCGAATTATTGCTTTAGTTTCATTATTACATATTTTGAAGTTTTTTTTATTAATAATTATCACAAAGTTTTTATATATAAATTACATATTTTTAAGAGAAATAAGTTATGAAGTTCTAAACATAAATAAAATCTTATACAAAATAACGATTTTCTTTATTGTGTGTTGGCTTATCACAATTGATAAGCTAATCGTGAATTAACTTGCTAATTCAAATAAAACGAGTTGTTGAAAAAAATCTATTTTACTTATGCTTTAATTATTCATTAATACAATAAAACAATAGTTTTTTTTAATTAAATTATAATGACAATTAATATAAATTTATTATGTATATAACAGTGTGATAAAAAAACTGTTTTAGATTTTTTTTTGTATATTTTTTGGCAAATAATATAAATTAAATTTTAACGTTACTCTGATTAAATTAACATGATTAACTGATAAAGAATTGTGGTAAGATATTAATTGCAATGCGGTTAACGATTTCGTTACAAAATAACTGCAGATTATAACAAAGATACGAAAAAGTAGAACAAAGTTTTACATTTCAAAAATAAATAAACAATTTATAAATTTTGTCTGTTTAACAAACAATATTTGTATACTAAAGAGAAGTAAACAGTCTTGATTATATAAATATTTTATACATAGAAATTTAATGTAGCTTTTGTAACCTTTTTCTTCCACCATAATTCATTGCTTTTTCTTATTAGTTTCAGTTTTGTTTTGAATAATGAAAATTGAATATAACCGTTTTCAATTATTTTTCTCGAAATATGTCATGTATGAAAAAAAAAAATGTTTCGCATTGGAATGAAAACCACATCCAGACCAGCTTTTCCGTGAAACGAAAAATAGGGAATTATAATTTAACCACAACCGCTCGATAATGGACAAGATTAAGCTTTAAGGATATTTCGTATGGAAGTGGCCATTAGAATCGACAAAACAAAACAAAAATGTATAAATTCATTTAAATTTTGTTTAAATATTATTTATTTTAGTCAAAATTATCGACTTCTCTCATTTTCTTAAATAACAAATTTTGTTCCCTTTACATTTTTTTTATTTTTTGCGCATACAGTAAAATCCTTACATGACACAAATGTTGATGTCTATTCAAGAGATAACTGGTATACGTTTCAAAATACAGTAGAAGTTCGGTTCAAGAACATAATTCGTTTCTAAAGAATAACCGAAAACCAAATTGTTCGAAAACCGAAACCATTTTCCCGTATGGATTAACTTTACCGAAATTAGGTTTTGAAACTGAGAAGTTTTTGTTTGGGAGAACCGAATTATTCTACAAAAATTTATAGATTTTTTTCAAAATAATTCAATAATTCAAAAAAAATGAAAAGAAGCATAACAGTATAATAATTATGAATAATATATAAAAAAAATGTTATAAATCTGTATATGAAATGACTAATTTGTGATTTATTAATTAATAAACGGAAATTGTTATATTGGGGAAAACCGTTTACATGGAAACATTTCGCCAGTGGAAACTTAATTGCAGAGCGGAGCAAGGTTGGAAAAATCGCGCTGAAATTACGAATGCAACTATGCAATATTTCTTTTTTTTAGAACTGTTTGTGTATTCCCAAATTCCCTGAAACAGTGTGTGTATCTATTTTTAACCTCGTCAGATGTTGATGCATTTATGCAAACTATTTAGTATAAATTAATGTCAGTTTTCCAGTTCCGTAATTAAAACCATTCACTTTTGATTTGCAATATAATTTCTTAATTTGTTTATAATAGTTTGATTACTTAAGTTAAGCAATTTGTGTAGAAGATGGGTGACCTTTAACATTTGTTAAATACAATAGTACTAAGCTTTACTCAAGTCACTGCTACATGCTTGTACATAACATCCACTGCTGATTTATTTTGTTTTGAGAATGGTGATAATATAAATATAAGAAAGGTTTTCAATTAACAGAAACGAAGAATTTTTTATTATTATTTTGCAAAATTATACATTTTGTGATGAGAATAAAATATGAGGAAAGAAAAACAGAATTAACTATAAAATCAAATTTACTTTGCTTAGAGATTTATCTCAACTTTAGGAGAAGAAAACGATAAAAAAAAGATTACCCAAAAATCGAAATGTTCGAATACCGAAACTATTTTACCATAAGGGTTCATATAAAGTTAATCCGTTTATGTCTGTCACAAGTTTCAAAATAATGGAATAAATGAATGGTTTCTAATAGAATATAATTCATTAATAACGGGTTTTCAATAATCGAATTGTTCGAATACCGAAACCATTTTACTATAAGTGTTCATATAAAGTTAATCCGTTTATGTCTGTTACAAGTTTCAAAATAATGGAATAAAAGGATTGTGCTTATAAAATATAATTCATTCATAACGGTTTTCAAACAATCGAATTGTTCGAATACCGAAACCATTTTACTATAAGTGTTCATATAAAGTTAATCCGTTTATGTTTGTCACAAGTTTCATAATAATGGAATAAATGGATCATTGTTTATAGAATATAATTAATTCATAATCGAATTGTTCGAAAACCGAAATTTCTCAGAAGAATTAATGTAAAATTAATCTATTGGGAAACCAAAATTAGGTTTGGAAACTGATAAATATTTATTCGGAAACCGATTTATTGTAGAAAAAGATTCCACTATATATAATACTAATATTGTGAGAAAAATCACGTTATGCTTTATAAATTTGATATAAGACAAATAAATGTTATAATTCTCACCAAATTGTTCGAATACCGAAATCATTTTCCCCATAAGAATTAATGTAAAGTTCATCCATTGTAAAACCCAAATTAGATTCGAAAATTGAGGAATGTATACTTTATGATTGTTATTATTAATATTACACTAAAGAATGCTAAATTATACAAGTTGTAACATTAATCAATTTATAATGAATGTAATTCGCATTTAGATTCTCATTTATCAAGTGTAATTTCTTGTATTTGTAACAAATTATTATTATAATATTAATTACTAACAAATTCACTACAAATTTAAAAATAATTACATAATATTTGGTTTTCACTTCGGCGTTTTTATATTTAGTTCCCACTAAAATGTGTTTCTTTTCTCATACACTTCTTATCAATACCGATTACGTTTGTTGTCCGTCCGGCGGATTTTCCTTAACGGTAAAAAAAAACCTTTAAAATTTCGTAATCCGGTGATTATTTTTTTAGGTACAACGCAATTAATTATTATTTTTAAAACTAGATTTTTTTAATAATTTATTTATAAAAACTTTTTTGGTTCATTTCGACCAAGAACAGTCTAAAATTTATTTTAAATGAGATTTATTTAATGAATTTAATTAGTTTTTTTTTTCTAAATTTATTAAATATTCTAGAAATTACATATATTTTGTAATTTTCTTGTTAATGGTTATAATTGTAAGTAAAAATAAGATTGAGAATTTAAGTTTGTTGTGCAATGATCGC